AGATAGAGAGATAAAAAGAAAGAGAGAGAAGACATATCTCAATAAAGATTTGTACACTAGTATGTATGTGTTTATATATATGTATGTGTGTGTATATATAATATATATATATATAAATAATATATAATATATATATATATATAATATATATATATATATATATATATATATATATCTTCCACCTCATGGCAAGCCGCCAGGCAGGGACTCCCCATCTCGAGCTCCTCCCGACAGGTTTGATCGATCTGCCTAGCCACGACTTCCTAGGTCATCCCACAGGCCTCCTCACCCAGGGTTGTCTCTTACAGAGACAACCTGATGAGCAGGATCAGCCTGTGGAAAGCGAGCCGAGGTGCCATATAGCCTGAGTTGGTGATCCCGATTGTGTAGATAACAGGTCCTGTGCCAGTCTCACGGTGCACCGTTGGTTAGACACGTGCCCAACAATACCCCATGATCCGGCAAGGACCTATTACAAAAGGCATCAAGACGAGGCTCCAGGGCACTGGATAATGTCCAGGTTTCACTACCATAGAGCAAAACTGGCATTATCAGGGCCCTGAAAACCTAGCTTGGTCCTTCTGCACAGGTACCGGCACTCCAAATACTCTTGTCGAGAGAGTTCATGACCCTGCTGCCAGGCCAATCCGTCTGCTGACTTCCTGGTCTGACAGCCCAGAGTTATGAACTGCACTACCAAGGTATGTAAAGCTCTCTGTGACTTCATGTCCTCGGCACATACGTACCGAACAGGTTCTCCTAGTAATCCCCAAAGTCCTGGATCTTGGTCTTGGTCCAGGAGACCTCTAGACCCAAGGGCTTCGCTTCATTACTAAATGCATCGAGAGCCACCACTAGGGTTTCCAAAGACTCAGAAAAGCAACATCATCGCAAAATCAAGGTCTGTAACCTTAATATTACCCAGTGTTGCTCCACAATGACTTTGAACAGTAGCTCTGCCTAGTATCCAGTCCATGCAAGTGTTGAAAAGTGTTGGTGCAAGAACACAGCCTTGCCTCACTCCTGAACTGACAGGAAAGAAGCTCACAGGCCCCCACCACACTTTACAGCACTTTCAGTACCAGTATACAGGTTTGCTATTAGTTCAATAATCCTTGTTGGAATTCCTCTCAGTCTCAGGATCTCCCAGAGTGATTCCGATGCACTGTATCGAACGCCTTCTTGAGGTCGATGTAGGCTGCAAGCAGCCCACGTCCGAACTCACGACGCGCTCTACAATGACTCGAAGCGCAAGGATACGGTCTATGCGGCTCTGATGCCTCAGTAGATGGTCTCTAATACACCAGAAGGATGTGGGCAAGAACCTTGCCTGGTACACTGAGCAGCGTGATGCCGCAGTGATTGCTGCAGTCCCATCGGTCCGCCTTCCCCTTCCAGAGAGGGATGACCACACCCCTTAGCAGGTCAGGGGGAACGGTACTAGACAGCGAGATGGCAGACAGGACAGCATGCAATCCCCGCGCCATAGATTCACCACCAGCCTTTAATAGTTCAGCTGGGATGCCACAAATACCTGCTGCTTTACCACTCTTCAGCTTGGAGATCGCCTTCCTAACTTCAGTTAGGGAGGGTGGGTCCTCGCTAATGGGTGGGTCCGGCAGTGGAATCATGGCACTACCCGCATCCAAGTTAACTGTTGGAAGGTCAACCTGATACAACTGCTCAAAATACTCAGCGCAACATTCCCGTACTGCAACAGGATCTGAGATGATCTGGCCACCTACTAAGCGAACTGCAGTCGCCTGTGAAGAGGGCTTGGAGTTCAGCTTTTTCAGGGCTTGGTTTGTAGGACGAAGGTCATTTACTAAGAAATGGCCTTCGACCTCCTCAGCAAGACTCCTAATAAACTGTTCCTCGTCCCTTCTTAACAGAGACCGAGTTCCGGTAATACTTAGGTTTATATTTATATAATGACTGCAATACGATGGTGGAAATCTAATGACACTCACAGAGAGAGGGAAAACTATATTTCATTATCACATGAAACAATCTATGCAGGTAAAGAATAAAGTCTGAAATAAAAAAAATGGTTAATCCACACAGGAATCGACATAGGAAGTTGAGGAAAAATCCTGATTTGGAAAGATAAAGGATCAGATTGATCTATTTGTGAGTGTGAGTGTGAGTGTGAGTGTGAGTGTGAGTGTGAGTGTGAGTGTGAGTGTGAGTGTGAGTGTGTGTGTGTGTGTGTGTGTGTGTGTGTGTGT